GGTGGAACCAAGACATTAAGACATTGGGGTTCGTTTTCTAAACAAAGTCAGTTTTTAAATTCATTCAATGGTTAACAAGAGAAATTGGTTCTAGACAACTGAACAGACAAGACTTGGCCAAAGACATGGCTTTCAGCCCAATTGTATCAAGACACCAGGCTGGTGGTAGAGGTTGGGGGAGGGTGAGGTTCAGGGACAGGTGCTGAATCATCACTGTTAAACCAGGCTTCTCTCAGCTTGGGTCACTTGCTTGCATACAGTTTGGCAAACACACCCTGAGGTCCCCAGGAAAGCCAGTTTTTGAGGCTTGTAAACATTAAAGGCCACACAAGTACACACAAACTCATAGATCTGTCCAAAAGACTTCTGATGGCTTGAAGTACACAAATCCTGGCCATACTTGAGCCATGCCTCCAAGCTTCCAGATTTCAGTACTAAGCGTGTCCACCTATGCAGATTCTTGAGTCTTCTACCCTGTTCAACAGCAGCACACTGGTGCAGCCCCTCTGTCTTAGGAGAAATGCAGAATGGAGGATGAAAGCCAGAAAAGGCAAGAAGTGTTTCTCCAGAAAGCTCTTTTACTCCGTGAGACCAGCCCGGAGAAGCTCTTCCTCCCTGCTCTGCAGGCACAAAGGCTGGCTGGGCCGGCAAGACTGTTTCTTATGTTCCTTTTCACCTGCTAGCTGGACTACTGTTCAACAGCACTCATGGGAGAGAGCTGCCTGTGGGGTAGTGACCAGCTTTCCTGTGAACTTAGACAAAAGTCAAGCTGACAGATCAGGAGGTAGATTTTTAGGAATTAAGGGGACCAAAAATTAAGAAAGCAAGCTTAGGGAGTAGGTAAGAAAATGGAATCCCCTATATCAACATAAAGGGAGGAGAAAGGCAACCAGGCAGAGGTCCTGTAGCTATCACTGGAGCTAGAGTTTGTCATAAGGGCCGAGAGCTGCACTTTGGAATGATGCTCTATTGAAGTTTGTTTCATAATACTATTTATCTTTGCTTTTATTAAATACAGATATTTTCTGGAAATTCCTTTTTCATTATTTAAAATGCATTTATAAGAGGAGGGCAATAACACAGCACTCAGCAAGGTGAGTCACAAAAGAGAAGCAGGCGAGTCCTGCCACACTCGTGGTATCAGGCGCTCCCCTCAGAATATCGGAGGAGCTGTGCACTTTTCTCCTAACCGCTGAGTTCTAATCTACTTGATCAAGCCTAAATTTTCCAACTGATTCTCCTTCTAGCTTTCCCCCATTTGTCCATGGGTCCTTTCCTGCGATTTCTCACTACTTTCTACATCCAGTGGACCTCACATGTCTTTTTGTACCTCCAGGATTACTAGGGGTGGAATTTTCTTCCTCTATTTTTATCTTCTCTTGCTTCTCGTGTCTGTGGAGACACAGGTTAAAGCCAGGTTAGAGTGATTTCTGAGTGAGAAATTCTGCCAAATTGGGTTGTGATGAGGTAGTGCCAGGGGGTTTGGGTACAAAAAGAACTGAAAAGTTGTAACTCTTTCATCTTCTGGTATTTTCATATTCAGTGGTCACAATGATGAGTGATTTTCTAAGCACCTAGGCAGAGTGGTGTTCACCTAGAGGGGACTTTTTCTGCTCCACCTACTGAGGGACATGGGTTTATTTTGATTCTCCCCTCTCCCTTTCTAGTTGCTTACATAACTTGTTTCCTCTTGCGAGCTCTTGCTGACCTACTGTCCCTTCTGCTGCCTCTTCCTTTTTAGACTTGCTTGACTAAGTGTGTGATTACTAAACAGAGAACAGCAACGTAAAGATTGATTCCAGTGCTTCAGCTCTACTCAAACATATGTCTAAAATGGGACTTGGGTGAGGGTGATCATGAGATCTAATGTCATTCCTTGCATTTGAGAAGAAAGTTACACATTCGGGTGGAGAAGTCTAAGAGGTCTCTAGCAGCAGAGTGGGCCTGTAGCTCAGAAAGCAAGTCCACCAAACCCATGCCAGGTTCAACTGGGCTGAGTCACGCTTGTCACTTAGAGCAGCTCAGAATTTCTTTTCCAGAGGGAAAGTAGATAAAGGAAAAGGGACAGGATTACAGGGCCACAGAATATCAGGGAAAGGGTTTCAAAGAGAGACTGCAATTATCCACAGGTGCAACAGGTAAGAGAGATGTCTGGGAAAACCTGCAGCATTTAGCAGTGAGCAGGCTGCAGGTGCTTTTGTAATGATGCGGTTCACTGCAGAGCACTGCACAGGTGCTGTGGTCGCAAGCATGACGCGGCCTCATGACTCAGCGTCCCTCCCGCTGCCCCGTCCCCTGCAGCCATTTTGGATGGGATTCTCTGACCATCTTTCTCTGGGTTCAGTGCCCCTGCTTAAACTTCAGAATGATGCCACCCTACTGGAAGTATTTGACCTGAGGGACTTGCTCTGTCTAGAAGATGAGCTGCTTCACAAACTTGTATCACAGAATATCAGTTTACCTCTTCTTAAGCCAAATTTCTGGTGGAGGCTGCAGCTTCTTTCTTAAAACCCATCATCATTTTCTGCCTCCCATCAAGCCAAAAAAAAGGCAAAAAGTCTTGTTGAAATTGTTCACTGATGTGAAAGTCATCCATAAAATGAGATAATTGAGCCTTAATTTCAGATTAAGTTGTGAGAATCAAGAATATTTCTTAAACTGCATTTCATTCTGTTGGTGCAGGGCTAAAGGGGGATTTCAGGTATCTGTGAGTCTTCCCGGTTACCCCAAAACTTGAACTTTTTATAGTCATGTTGCAACCACCTCTTTAAAATTAGCAATATTGGAATAAGAGTAAGAATTAGAGTAAGAAGTCTTGCTTATTGGATTGCAAGCAAAATAGCCTATTCAAGCACCAACCAGTGCTCCAGGAACAAGTCCAGTTGAGCAACACTATAACTGTGGACAAAAAGCTATAGGAGTTTCTTTTCCTTCCCCCAGTGGTTATTTTACTGTCATGGTGTGTGTGTGGGGAAGTGGATTTTAAATAATATCAATTCAAAGAGTGGTAGGTCCCAATTTGTCTGTGGGTTTATGTTCTCACTTTCATTTTGGACTCAACTTCTTGTCAACAAATTCTTTGTTTATAGTTGGGAAAAAACAAAGCCATCTGTAGAAACTCTTCCCATGGATAAATGTCTTTTTCTTGCAACTCCAGACCTAGACTTGCCACTTTGAATGCACTGTGGCTCAGTCAGCCGACTAGTTCCACCTGTCATCTTGACATTTTGGAGGCTTCTAATTAGCTGGAAAAGTATTTTTCTAATATATTAAAATAATAGATATCTTATTTAAAAAAGTAAAGAAAAATGAAGAATGGTTACCCGCACCTAGCATTGTGTAGTCAGAACGCCGTGGAGACCACAGGGGAAGACAAGCCCATGGACGCTGGTTGTTCTTCCTACTGCAGTCCTGCTGTGGTAATTGCAAGCCAAAGGCATGACCCTGCCCCCCCCCCCTTTCCCTTATCCCTTCTCTATTGCACATAGCATATCATCTTCAAGCAAAGAGCTAGCCATGCTTATCTTTCCTGGGAATGCATTCAGCCCACCTGGGAGCCTATCCCATTTCTCTTGTGAAAAACACCAGGTGTGCTTATGAGTTAGTTGGCAGCTACTGCTATTTGTTGGAGTAACAGGTGGGACTTGCCTGTTTTGCCGTCTATCTGGATCCGCGGAAGGGGAGCTAACCAGTTCCCTGGCTGGAGAACAGCAAGTAGCCCTCTAGCCAGCCTGCGACACTGTGGAAACACCACCTTCTCCCTCATAGTCTCTAACATCGCCTCTCTGCAAAGCACAACACTAATGTATGTGTCCTTAGGCTTCTGTCAAGCATCCATATTTATTTCCACAAGGACACACACATCCAGGCCACCTTTCATTTGTTGCCTTTCTGGTGTCATCCGTTCCTCTGTCCTTTGCTGCTCGTTCCTTCCCAGCCCTCCTAGGAGTCTGCTAGTGAGATCTGATTCCACAAATCCTTTTTGGTTTGTGAAGGCAGTGGTTAACGGCACAAAGAGAGCCAAGGGATGTATGTAAAGTGCCACCCTATAGCTGAACAGCGTGTAGTGCTTTCCCATGCTGATATCAGTTATTTGAGAAAATTGAATAGATTTTATTTTTGCATTGCTGTTAACAAGACATTCACCAAAGGTTTTGTTTGGAAGCTTCCCTGACCTTCTCCCCTTCCCCCACCCCAGATATGTTCTCAAATTAACATATTGAAAGTATCTGAGGCATTATCCATTCTTTCCCTGTATATTAAACCCTGTTATATTAATTTTTATAAGACTTTTTTACCTCTGTACAAGTGTATTATGCATATTTTAGATCTTAACTTTTTCTATGTTTTCTAATATGTATGACCAATGTAGCCATTGCTTTAAAGTGTACCATGTAGGGTCTGTTGTAGTATAGCTGATAAAGCTGCTGCCTGTGATGTCTGCATGCCATATATGGATATCAGTTCAAGTCATGGCTGCTCTACTTCCAATCCAGCTCCCTGCTAATAGCCTGGGAAAACACCAAGGATGACCCAAGTGTTTGGGTCTCTGCCACCCACATGAGAGATTAGGATGAAGCTTCTGGCTCCTGTCTTTGGCTTGGCTCAACCTTGTTAGTTGTGGCCCTCTGAGGAGTGAAGCAGAGGCTAGAAGACTCTCGGTCTCTCCCTCTCCTTTTTCCTCTGAAACTCTGACTTTAAAAAATCTTTAAAAAAAATGTGGTATGCAAATATAAACACATTAGGTCAAGAAAAAAAGTATGATTTTATGGAGCTAAGGAAGGAAAAGGTAGTAGGGAAATACAAGTTATGAAAAGTGATGTTATTCTTTATCCTTTATTAGTTCTTGGCTGGGGACTCCCCATAACAAAGGAAAGATTAACAGGAAAAAAGAAAACAAATATTTAATAACGTGCGTTAGTCCTTTTTCTGCTGCTGTAACAAAATACCTGAGGCCAAATCATTGATACTATAAATGAAAGACATTTATTTCAACTCACGGTTCTGGAGCCGGGAAGTCCTGGAGCATGGCTCTGGCATCCGCTCAGCTTCTGGAACAACCATAATACAGCAGAAGATAAGAACCAAGGAAACAAATGACTGGGTTTCGTTGTTTTTGAATTTGGAAAACATCATGCTGAGTGAATTAAGCCAGTCCCAAAGGGACAAATATCATATGTTCTCCCTGATCGGCAACAACTAACTGAGCACCAAAGGGGAAACTTGTTGAAGTGAAATGGACACTATGAGAAACAGTGACTTGATCAGCTCTTGTCCTGACGGTTGATGTACAATGTAATACTTTATCCATTTTAGTATTTTTTTTTGTTCTAGTACCATTGGTTGAACTCTGTAATTAACACACAATTATTCTTAGGTGTTTAAATTTTAACTGAAAAGTGATTCCTGTTAGGAATTTGGAAAACATTATGCTGAGTGAAATAAGCCAATCCCAAAGGGACAAATACCACTTGTTCTCCTTGATAGGTGACAACTAACTGAGCACCAAAAAGGAAACCTGTTAAAGTGAAATGAACACTAGGAGAAACGGTGACTTAATCAGCCCTCACCCTGACTGTTGATGAGCAGCTTAATATGTTATCCCTCTTAGTATTTTTTTTTGTTTGTTCTACTTAATACTTTTGGTTGAATACTGTAATCAATACACAATTCTTCTTAAGTGCTGAAACTTAACTGAAAAGTGATTGCTGTTAAATATAAGAGTGGGAATAAGAGAGGGAAGAGATGTGCAATTCGGGACATGTTCAAGCTGACTTACCTCAAACGGTAGAGTTAGAAACATACCAGGGGATTCCAATTCAATCCCATCAAGGTGGCATGTACCAATGCCATCTCACTAGTCCCAGTGATCAATTTCTGTTCACAATTGATCGTAATGATAGGACTAAGAACCAAAGGGATCACATAAACAAGAATAGTGTCTGCAAATACTAGCTGATAGAATAAAAATGGAGAGAATGATCCAACATGGGAAGTGAGATACACAGCAGACCCATAGAATGGCAAATGTCCTAACAGCACTCTGGCCTCAGAATCAGCCCTTAAGGCATGCGGATCCAGCTGAAATGCCCATGAGAGTATTTCAGGCATGGAAAGCCAAGACACTCTGGGGGAAAAAAAAAAAAAAACCTAAATGAAAGATCTCCACGAGTGAGATCCCAGTGGAAAGAATGGGTCATCAAAGAAGGGGGTACCTTTCTCTGAAGGGAGGAGAGAACTTCCACTTTGACCATGGCCTTGTCTAAATATGATCAGAGTCAGTGAACTCAGGGGGCTTCCTTAGCCTTGGCAGTTCATGACAAGAGCCTAGGTTGATTACTGATGCCATAAACAAGAGTGTCAATTTGTTAAGTCAACAACAGGAGTCACTGTGCACTTACTCCTCATGTAGGATCTTTGTCCTTAGTGTGCTGTACATCGAGATTTAATGCTATAACTAGTACTCAAACAGTATTTTTCACTTTATGTTTCTGTGTGGGAGCAAACTGTTGAAATCTCTACTTAATGTATGCTAAACTGATCTTCTGTATATAAAGAGAATCGAAAATGAATCATGATGTGAATGGAAGGGGAGAGGGAGTGGATAAGGGGAGGTTTGTGGGTTGGAGGGATGTTATGGGGGGGAAGCCATTGTAATCCATATTCTGTACTTTGGAAATTTATATTCATTAAATAAAAGTTTAAAAAAAAGAACCAAGGAAACAACTTATCATCCTTCCAACCTACTCCCCCAAGAAGTTACAGCTCTCCAACACTGCTGCATTCAGCCAGCCTGGGAGACAGCCTATTTCTTTCACCAGGTGTGCTTATGAGTTAGTTGGCAGCTGTTACCACTTGTTGGAGTAACTGGTGGGGACTGAGGTTCCAATGCATGAACTTCTGGGAGACTGACTTAAACCAAAACAGCCTGTAGACTTCTAGTATACATGGTAGAGAAGCCAGAGAAATGAGTATATTTCTAAATTAGATCTCAAAGAGACCTCAAAAGAAGGCTGTGCTGGCTGCCTGATTCCTCTTCTTTCCCTTTTTGGCCAAATTCCAAGTATCTGCTTGCTAATAGCATCCCTTCATCAGGTCTCTGATGAGTTTTTCTTTCTCTTGGGAAAGGAGGGGTAGAACAAGGGAGAGGCCAGGGTAGATGAGTAAGGTCAACTGAAGGAAGAGTGGCCAAGGAACGTTTGTGGTGAAGGCTTTAGGAACAAGGTAGGGGAAGCCGGAATACCTGAAGTCACAGCCAAGAGAGATAGTGGAAGATATTGATTGCTATAATCATTCAAGCAGGTGGAATCAATAAAAGCAGGACTTCTCTGATGGAATCAACATGGAAGCAATCAAGAAGGAGGTGCAGAGGGAGCCAGGAGAGCACAGGTGGAAGAGTTTAGATTTAAGTGAAGACGGCCGGCGCCATGGCTCGATAGGCTAATCCTCTGCCTTGCAGCGCTGGCACACTGGCTTCTAGTCCCAGTCGGGGTGCCGGATTCTGTCCCGGTTGCCCCTCTTCCAGGCCAGCTCTCTGCTATGGCCCGGGAGTGCAGTGGAGGATGGCCCAAGTGCTTGGGCCCTGCACCCACATGGGAGACCAGGAAAAGCACCTGGCTCCTGGCTTCAGATCAGTGCGGTACGCCGGCCGCAGCGCGCCAGCTGCGGTGGCCATTGGAGGGTGAACCAACGGCAAAAAGGAAGACCTTTCTCTCTGTCTCTCTCTCTCACTGTCCACTCTGTCTGTCAAAAATTAAAAAAAAAAAAAGATTTATTAAAAAAATTTAAAAAAAAAGATTTAAGTGAAGAAAATCCATCCTCAGACCATCCCTGGTAGATGAGTGACTCAGGTGTCAGGTGTGGATCCAGAGACAGCCTGAAATGCCTGCAAAGAGAGATGCTGGGGTTGGGATTAAACTTCTAACATTTTGGTTTTGCTCTGTAGAAAGAACAATCTTTAAATGAGAAAAGGAGGGAGATTTTATTAACAGAGGCAGTATGGGGAATATTCAGCTCCATGTAGTGTCATTTTAGTACCTCCTCTAGCTTCATTCGTTCTTCACCATCCGCAGTATATCATTCCGATCAGAAAAGTCTTCAAAGTGATGCCACCTCCCTTTTCCTAGCCCTGTGTCAACACCTATGCTTTTTTCCTTCTTTTGTTAAAACAAATTTACTTATTTGCTTGAAAGAATTACAGAGAGAGGCAGGGAGAGAGTCAGAAACCTTTCATCTTCTTGTTGACTCCCCAGATGGCTGCATGGCCAGTGCTCAGCTAGGTTGAAGCCAGGTGCCAGCAGCTTCTTCCAGGTCTCCCATGTAGGTGACAGGGTCCCAAACACAATGACCATACTCCACTGCTTTCCCCAGGCCAATAGCAGGGAGCTGGGTCAGAAGTGTGGCAGCCAGGGCTCAAACCGGTGTCCATATGGGATGTTTGTAACACAGGCAGTGGCTTTTCCTGCTACACCACAACAGTGGTACTGTGACCTATGCTCTTCTTACAGGTAATTGTATCTGGTTCAACCATAGTCAGCACGTTGGCCCACTCTAACATCCTATGATTGCTTGTTCCCCAGACTTGGCTTTGTTTGAATGTGTCATGATTTTGCTTGAAGGGAATCCCTGAGTAAATGCACATCTACCAGTGTACATCTGCACACACCCAGACCTGTATGTCCTTCAGTTTCTATGATGTCTGAGACTTGGTTAGATCGGCGTTTTCATCTTTCCTAGCTATTTTCCAGGTTGTTTCTTGATGAAATGAGCAACAATATTTTAAAATTTGTTATGGCATTGGAAGTAATTCAGAACTGTTTTTCTCTTGACTAAGTGATTTGATATAAATGCTTCAAGAGAATCCCACAAACCAGTTTAAATCTAAACACAAATACCTGGAAGCCTTTCAACCTTGAGTAGACATCTGGAGTTATCTTCATAGCACTGGTTCTACAGTTCATTTAAGCTACTTTACTGCTTGAGGAAATAAGATATTTAGAAGGAATATTAGCAGTAAACCACTTTCTTTCCCTAACTTTTATAATAACTATTCTAAAGTCTTTGACCTTGCTTAGTACATCTAGTTTCTTTGATGTCTAATTTTTATTGCACTCATTCCAGTCATCTATTTATTTGCAGGTTAAGTCTATCTGGATGTTAGTATTATATTTAATGGCTAAGTATTTCTGGATGTTACTATTATGTTCTTTAAAATATAACAAAAATAACTGAACTGTAGTGCATATAAGGAAAATTAAATTAGCTCATATATGCCAAGGACTCAGCATGGTGCCTGAAAGAATACAGAACAAACGCCCTTTCCCCATTCAATAGGTTCTGAATATAATTCATCACTCACCTATGCCCAAATTCAGTCTTATGGAAATCTCACTTAAGACATGCTGACAGCTTAGGACCAAGAGCAGGTAGTACACTGCTAATCCTTATTTCATATTTTATTATTCTCATTCCTATCTCTAAGCCTTGACTCCTCTCTAGAATTCATCTTCTTAACCCCAAACTCTGTGGGTTGGAATTCTCAAATCACATCATTTCTCCCTCCCTCCCTCCCTTCCTTTTTTTCTTCCTTCCTTCCTTCCTTCCTTCCTTCCTTCCTTCCTTCCTTCCTTCCTTCCATTTATTATTTGAAAGGCAGAGTTACACAGAGGGAGGGAGGGAGGGAGGGAGGGAGGGAGGGAGGGAGGGAGGGATGGAGGGGGAGAGAGAGTGAGTGAGAGAGAGAGAGAGAGAGAGAATGCCTTACATTTGCTGGTTCATTCCCCAGATGGCTGCAACAGCCTGGGCTGAGCTGATCCAAAGCCAGGAGCCAGGAGTTTCTTCTGGATCTCCCACGTGGATGCAGGGGCCCAAAGTCTTGGGCCATCTTTTGCTGCCTTCCAAGGCCACAAGCAGAGAGCTAGATCAGAAGTGGAGTATCCAAGACTCGAACCAGCATGCATATGGGATGTTGGCACTACAGGCGGCAGCTTCACTGGCTACGCCACAGCATCTGCCCCAAATCACATCATTTCTAAAGAGCCAAGTCAGTCCATACCTCCTCTGGAGCTCATCCTCAACTACTTCAGTCTTGTGGGTCCCCATTGCTCTAAACTCGTACAGCATTTAAAGCCTGGGCCACAAAAGCTGTCTCCTAAGGATTTGATTTATTATATTATCCTTAAATCTTTCATGTGCATGTAACTATTATCTTCGAATAAATGTAAAATTCCCATAGAAAAAGTATTCTTCCCGATGTGTAATGTGTAAGCATTACTGAGTAATGCATTGGATATGTAGCATGTGCTCAATAGGCTTTGACTCTATAATAATTTTATTAATTTGTAGGGCTAAAACTACTTGAAAATATAAGCAATTTAATTACTAAAAATGAAATTTGTCCTTGTGTGGACTCAATTTTCTTCTGTGTGTCATATTTTTAATTTCATATGTAAATATTTCCACTTTAACAATAAATCCCTGGTGTCAGGCAACTTGGTCAAGGTTAAGCAGTGTCTTTAGAAAGCAAATTACTGAACACTCACCATGGGCATTCATGCTTTGTATTCATATACACTTTCTAACACCATCATAGATCATCTTTAGATTGATGACACATTCATATTATTGATAAGTAAAGTACCCTCTGAATGATTTAATATGGGAGTTCACATCTGTCTCAAGAGACTCCCACCAGAATAGAAGACAAAAGGGTTTGGAACTCAAGTTTGAGTTCGATAATTGTCATACATTTCCTGTGGAACTTTAGATAAATCACTTAGCAACCTCTTTGGGTACAGATTCTCTCCTTGTATAGCAAAAAATAAAAAAAAAAAAGCCATGCTTCATTTAATGATGGGGATAAGTTCTAAAAAATGAATTAGATGGTTTTGTTGTTTTGTGAACATCTGCACTTACAGAAATGTAGATGGCATAACATACTGCATACCTAGGCTATATTGTGTAAGAGTAAACTGCCATATCTTTTGTCTGTTGAGATGTTGATTTCATGAAGAACCAAACTAGGTAAAACATGTGAAAATATTTTTTAAACTTGTGCATTGAACAGATGTGTGCTTGGGTTTTGTTTCTGCTTTAATTAAAGACAGAATTATGCCTTTGAAAAGTAACTGATAGATGTTAAACACCTTTCCCATTTAACTGTTAGATTGCATGCACATTGTCAAACATCAAAAACAAGCCATCCCGATGTTTGGTCTACCAACATGCTAAACATCTGGGGATTTCCAAAAATAATATTTAATTTTCTTTCATAGTAATGGCTTGATTTACTTTTGTTTCTAAATAATTCTGTGATCCCTGATAAATTCAGTGGAAAACATTTCATTTAATTATTTAGTGATTAGATTAGTCATTTAGTGTTACATCAGTTACACATAGCCTTTACAAATTGCCCAAATTTCTATGTTGGTGTTCCAAAAATGTGCATGGTTTATGACAAATGAGGAGTCATTTCAAATTGAAATTTGTGTGAAAAGATATTTTGGTTAGGCAAGGGCTTGGAACTTGCATAGCTATAATCACTTGGCCAAAGGTGATGGCCTCCATTAAAATATGCATCAGTTTTGGTGCATGGATACTCTAAGGTGGAATTAGAAGGGGTCCTCCTTGGTTCATTCCCTCCCCTGGGTACTCCTTTCTCTATGTTTTCTCAAGTAATGCAGGTAGAATAATATTTTAAGGTTAAAAAAAAGAATCAGGGCACTGTTGCCTTCATTTTGAGGTTTATGCTGAAGTAGCACCAATCAAGACAAATTTCAGAAAAGCGTAAAAATGATCTTGTAGGAAAAATTAAAAGAAAAACACTAACAGGAAAAGGCAGGGACTAGATAATACACCTCCATATACTGGGAGAAAGGAGAAGGGAAGGGATGGTGATCATATTTCTAAGCTCATGGAGTCCCTCCTAATCCATGACCTGGCAATTCTGGTAATGGGGGTTTGCCTTAGGGTGAGAGCTGTATGCATAACACATCAAAGTTTATGTTTAAAATGTCTAATTAATGATGTGATGGTAATTTAAAAAAAAACTGGGTCTCTGAAAAAATGCATGCATCTAAGTTCCTATGTCTATTTTAAATCAGATTGATATAATGCATAGAGCATATATTTTTCAAATAATAAACAAATACACAGTATTGTTTATTCTAATTCCATAAAGCCAGTCAATTGTAACCAAAGAATTTCATTGATTTCTGTTAAATCATTGTGTCTGTAGCCCAATAATGGTTGTCAGTGATGAATGAGTACAGTTCTATTATTTTGACTGAGTATTTCTCTTTACATGAATAAGTAATTTGAAACAGCAAGGATATTTATTTAAATTTCACTCATTAATCAAAGATGTGAAGTTATCATGCAGCTGGAAAATTTTCAAATTAGGAACAAATATTCTTTTAACTTTTTTGTGCTATTCATATTTTAATAAAACTAGTTCACAATTTTCCTAAAAATCTGATTACTGTCATTCACAGCCAGGGTTGGTCATCTCCAACATGTCACTGGCTTTTCTCTGTGGTACAGGTGGTTTTACTCTCAGAAACCTCCACTTGAGCATGATTCCAGGCTAAGAATGTCGTAACGAAATTTTTCTCCCTGCAGCAATGAGCAGGAAGTGTGTATGAGACTTGTGGACAGCTGACATCTTGGCAAGCCACACCCTGCAGCTGCAGCTTGACTGCCAGCAATGTCTGACATGTAGCTCCACTTGCAATGCTGGTAGGGGCAGCTTTCCATGACAGTGAAGTGACAAAGGTAGATAGCCAATACCAGGAGGCAATGCTTCCCAGGAGACCCTTGGTTTCAGAGCTCAATCTTTAGAAATAAGTTTAAATTTCTAAGCACTGCACACAAGCATCCATGGAAACTGACTACTTTTTTTTTAGTAATTGTTAAATAATATAACAGGAGGTGTATGGTAGAGTGGTTAAGCAGCTGCTTAGGTCACCTGCATCTCCTATATGAGTGCCTGGGCTTGATTTCTGCCTTCAGCTCCAGATTCCTGCTTCCTGCCAGTGTGCACTCCAGGAGGCAGTAAATCCAGTTCTTGGATCCCTGCCCCTACATGGAGACCTGGATTGAGGTCCTGGCTCCCCGCTACAGCCTAGCCTAGTCCCATCATTGCAGAAATTTGGGGAGTGAACTAGTGGATAGGAGTGTGCATGCTCTCTCTCTCTCTGCCACTCAAATACAAAGAACTATTTACTGAAAAAAAAAAAAAACACGAAGAAATCTAGTCTTCTTTTGTGACTGGCCTCAGGTCATTTCATTTGAGGCATTAGAAGATGATGTGCTCTTTTTTTTTTTTTTTCTTTTTTTTCATTCTCATCTCCACCTAGTGTTTCCTGGTTTGTTTGCTTTCTGAAGATGTATTTATTTATTTGTAAGGCAGAGTGACAGAGAGAACCAAAGAGAAATCTTCCATCCTGTGTTTTAATCCCCAAATGGATCCATGGCCAGGGCTAGATCAGTCCTAAGTTAGGAGGTAGGAACTCCATCATGTTTCCCATATAGGTGGCAGTGACCCAAGTACTTGGCCATTATCTGGTGCCTTCCTGGACACATCAGCAGGAAGCTGGATTGGAAGCAGAGCACCTGGACTCCAACCAAACCTGCACTCTGATACAGGTTGCTGGGGGTTGCTTAACCCACTACACGGTAATGCTGGCCCCTGTTTTCTGGATATCTGTGGCAATACTGACTACTGGCTAATGACACAATGTGTCTTAATTATGTAGGATTTTGACACCAAAAAAACTAACAAACAAGAGGCTTGAAAATATTCATTTTTTAAAATGATCACACAGAAAAGTCTAAAGAACTTGTATTTTTATTGGCATTAATGGCTTGGTAAGTTGATAGATGAAGGAAGCCTTTCTGGCTGGGTCCATTAAGAAAGTAAGCAGTATACACTTCTCAAAACATACCTTATATGTGATGTGAAAAATGTGCAAAGGATAACACAAAGGGGAACAGTGTTTACAGTTAATTAATCTTGACATGACAAAAGAATGCCAACTTGCAAGAAGCAGGCAAGGTGATCACTGAACGTAACACAAAGCCAGGATCCTATTGCCTTTCTGCCACCAATGCCTTCCCTCTGCAAGTGTTTTTATTTTTTCACAGGCTACTAATAAAATGAAAGTGGGGTTACAGTGCAAGTTCCTTCCAATTTACAATTCTGGACTCCGAATAATTCAGGGGTATATTTTTAGGTGCTTTGGTCAAAGGCCAATTTCTTTTGTTTTCTAAAGAGCAGAGCTATGCCAAAACTTCGTGGTCCTTGAAAATACATTATAGTATGATAAGGCCTTATAAAAAAGACAACTGTTCTAAGTATATTTATGTATCAGATACCTGATAAAAATATGGAATGTAGAATGACATGTGAAAAAGAAGTACAAGTGTACAAAGGCGAAAATATGCAAGATTCTTGGCATAGCTAGCGTTCTTGAGAGTTGTCTTGGCCAGGCTGCATCTCATTGAAGTAGACTTTTTGACTCATTTTCTGAATAAAAGGAAAATAAAGTTTGGAATCCAGGGTTATTATAAATGATATAATAATAACAACTTTTCTAAGTTAAATAATAATAACATATCTACTGAGAGACAGTATCTTTACTTTCATTTTACAGGTGAGAAAATGAACAAAATAACTTGGCTTAAAGTCTCACGATTAGTTTTGGGCAGAACTAAAACTAAAATATATGTTATCCTTATAAGTTCAGTTTTCTCCCAGCATTCAAAACTGCCTATCTTACAGAGTAATGGGCATGTCTAGCTATTTTCAAGCCTCTAAAGAAATAAATGGCTTTTTTTAGATGCCCTGGTACTGGCCTGGGCACGGTTTCTAGAATTCCCTGCAGAGTGACATTGCATCCAGCCCTTATTAAATGATGCATGTTTTGGCTTTGCTGTTCCTTCCCAACAAGCATGGTATTTGGGTCAATATTGTTCTTTGTGCTTTCTCTGTAGTTCAGCTCCACAAAAGATTCAGGGCAGGGAGAAAAAGAATAATTCCTTCTGTATGACATACCCTGAATATCTTCCCTCTTTATGATTTTAGGTATTGTTATTGGTATTTTTATATTCTGGAATTATTTTGTATTCAGAAACAAACACTATACATCAAGCAATTAGATTCCCTAGCCTAATTCATGTTGGATTGTTTAAGACACAAAAATAATATAATGGTTTATAACTCATTGAGACAATTTAAAAGGAATGAAGTCATGGAGTCTCACAGCATGTTCTTCAATGGTATGGATATTCTAGCTTGTTCTTCAATGGTATGGATATTCTTACACATCACAACTCTCAGCTGTTAACCAAGAATGAAGCATCTGCATCAATTAAGACTTTTTTTTTTTAACAAAAAAGTGCACTTTTGTTTTTCTCAACTTAGTTTGTATTAAGTTGATTCCTATCTAACAGGAAGTTAGGGGATGTTTAGCACAGATTTTGGCAGTCCTAATCTCCAGATATCAAAGAAACCACCTTCTCACTACTGTGTGTATATCCATACACTTCTGAGTTAGGTTCATATGCTTGTTTTTTTTCTGACTAAAATTGTCACTTTAAAAATATAAAACAAATGGTGTTTTAGTGTGCCATATAATTCAGTGGCACATCCTCTTCAGATATGAAAGTGAGAAAATGTTAGAAAACTGAAAAGAAAGATCTTACATGATATGCTTTTTAGTGTCTCCGCAATCGATTCCAGGTTTGAATTTACAGGTCACAGCCTCACAGCAAGGACTGGCACATTCCTTCAAAGAACACACAAACGCACACATTACAGTGAAAGTAGGTTCAGAATATCTTCTCATAGAGTAAACAAACTGAATTCTGGTACAAGATGGTAATGAAATTTCTTTTTTTTTTTAAAGATTTTTTTTTAAATTTTTTTGAGAAGTAGAGTTATAGACAGTAAAAAAGAAGAGACAGAGAGAAAGGTCTTCCATCTGTTGGTTTACTCCCCAAATGGCCACAACGGCTGGAGCTGCGCTGATCCGAAGCCAGGAGCCAGGAGCTTCCTCCCATCTCCCATGTGGCTGCATGTGCCCAAGCACCTGGGCCATCTTCTACTGCTTTCTCAGGCCACAGCAGAGAGCTGGATTGGAAGAGGAGCAGCTGGGACTAGAACTGGTGCCGCAGGCAGAGGATTAACCTACTGCGCCAATGGCACCAGCCCCTGAAATTTCTCATTCTACACTAAATTACTCTTCTATTCAAATTCCAGTAGAAATGATGCAGAAAACTCGATAGGAAAAAAAATGCTTTGAGCAATAATAACTACCTTTAATAGGCCCAAAATAGGGGCCGTCGCTGTGGCATAGCCAGTAAAGCCACAACTTATGATGCTGTTAACTCATATGTGTGTTGATTCGAGTCCCAGCTGCTCTACTTCTAACCCAGCTCCCTGCTAATGCACCTGGGCAAACAGTGGAGGACACCCCACGTGCTTGATCCCTTGCACCCATGTAGGAGACCCAGAAGAAGCTCCTGGCTCCTGGCTTTGGACTGGCCCAGCTTTGGGCGTTGCAGCCATTTGGGGAGTGAACCAGAGAATGAAAGATCTCTCTCTTTCTCTCAGGCTGTCTCCCTGTCTCTCTCCTTCTGTAATTCTGCTTTTCAAATAAATGAGTCTTTTTTTAAAGGCCTAAAATAGAATTATCCAAGTATTGTCTCAAGTAAATTTAGTCTAGAAGATATTACATGTAAATTACTTTAAAACCTCACAAATATACACGTTCACAATATTTTTACTTCTAGCAAACTATGTGACCTAATTAGTCCTTGGCAAACAGTTGGTGTCTGTGATATCAGTGTAGCATTACTGCTTTATATATAATCAGTTTGAATCCAAATGGCAGTTCCATGCAATTATCACATAAATATTGCCTCAGTGTTAATTCTGCAACTGTCCATATAAATTCTGATTCTCCACTAAAAAAAAAAAAAAAAAAAAACAACCCTCACAAATAGTTCTATACTACTTAAACTGTTTGAAAATAGAGAAAAATTTTAAAAATACCTAATTCAGTTTACCAATTTGCATGTCTTATAGGAAGAGTAGTAAAGAACACACGCAGTTTCCCTTTTTGAATATAAATGCAAAACCTTGAGTAAAATACTAGTTAAAACCCTGTTTATTACTAAGAACTACATAACAATTAATAACTAAATAATAACTACATAACAACTATGTGAAATTTTCCACTAAAAATGCAAGGATTTCTTTACTGTTTAAAATAAAGTAATAGAAATCCAGCACATTAAGAAACCTAGGAAGAGGAGGAAACAAATAATGCTATTGTGATGAATGATAAAAATTATTTGGTAGAAGTGCCGCAGTCATTATGGAACTGTTTAAGCACACAGCAAGTAAACTATGAACAGGATGCTGTATTGGGGTGATTTTAAAAAACACAATATGGCAGATAGTAAATATATATCCAATAAAATAAAGGATAAGACAAGCATTATTTATATTCTATATTCACATAGAAAATCCAACAGATACCATGAGCTATGGAAAAGATATGAAAGTATAGTAATTGAAAAGTATAAATCATATTTTCATTATTTATTTGTGCTACAATTTGCTACCCAAAAAGACAGAATCAACTTAAAAAATACTTGACAAGTCCCTAAGATAGCTGTTTAAGATAATTTTAAAATGCATCAAACATAGTAATAATAAATTAGAGCCTAAAATAAAAGAGAAAATAGTACACACAAAGCATGAAGAAAAGTAGGGAAATACTTCAGAGAAAACTTTCAAAATGTGAGAAAACTACTTAAAGATCTTTACATATAATTTTCCTGAGAAATGTTTAAGGCAACTTGTGTTTTAGGATGTATTTAATATTGTGAAATTGTCAGTGGCCTTCAGAAAAAAATATTCAGTGCATTCCAATTGAATCTCAGTTGTTTTTGGGGGAAAAACAGATTTTTAAAAGTTATATGAATATTGAATTGCTATGTAATTTTTGCAAAAATAGCTCCAAAGCACAAAAAATATGAAGAGATTTGCCACAAAAATGCTTTGTAAAATTACAATCAACAAAATAGTGTGATGCTTGTAAGAAATATGTAGCAGATAATTATGATGACTATTTTAAAAGATCTAAATATAGGCATAGGAAAACTTAATTTCATATCAAATCTATTGGAAATATAATTATTCAGTAAAATATACTACATAAAGTACATATATTACTTTATGCATAAGGAAAAATAGTTAAAATGTAGTTGTTCATAAATCTGATTACTCCAGCTTTATTCAGTCACATAAAAAGAAAATCAGTAAGGTGTAGAAGCAATACGAAAGTTGACAGATACACTTTAAGAATGTTAGATTTCATACAGACTCTATTTCTTCTTCCCCTTTTCTCTCTATTCTTCTCCAAATCCCCTTTTCTCTCTCTGTTTTTGTCAATACACATCAAATACATGCCATTTACCCATTAAAACTAGAAGTACTTCAATTGTCTTCCACCCAAGAAACCAAAACAAATATGTTGGAAAGGAATAAACACAAATTTTTATTATAAAAGTAAAAGCACTTGTAAAATTCCACACCTCATCTAATTAAGAGAATTTGCAGCATTCTTCAAAAATTATTGCACTATACGATATTCTTATGTAAGCTAACAGCTTAACATTGCTGAATAAACTGAGTAAGGTCTAGACGAGATGTCTCCACTGCCACACAGTTATCTAAAGTAGGGGGTCAATTCTGGTTTTCAATCCCCAATACCTAGTTTTGTACCCTTAGAACTAGTTACTTAACTTTTCTGACCACATTTCTTCTCTAAATTGAGATCATGCCAATACCTATTTTGTAGATTTAATAAAGATGTTTTATATAAAAATATTTTGCAGATTGTTGGATGCATATACATCTCTTCAAGTATTAACTACTATTTTGTCTTAAAACTAAAAGAAACCTACTCATAAAATGTGATTCTATTTTAGAAGCCTAATATGGAATTGTAGTGAACATTCTACCAAAACCATTCTTTAAACTATGAGGCTGCCTTTAAGGAGTTGTATTTTACAAAGATTCCAAAAGTCATGGTAATGACCTTAAATGTTCTATGTTAATAACCCATGTCTACAGGTTTATGTGATGTTTGTATCTCCTTCATCTCTGTTTCATTTGCTTTCTGGTTTACACAATGGATCTTGAGAAGAAAAGGCCAACTCTATATAAAGGACTTATTTCTAGATCTGTAATTGTTACTGCTCAACAAATGATCAACTATATCATTATGCAATATAGAAATTTTTAGGACATCCCAAATTTATGTCTACACATGTAATAATTATATACTTCCTTACATTCAAATTTATATAATCATGTCACAATATATCCTGGCTTTTGAAATATCTTTAAAAAGATGAGTAAAATCAGTAGCAAAAACAGAAGTACAAATCTGTTTCTTACTATGATGTTAAGTTTTTCTTTGGAAAAAATTTTCAGAAGAGCATTTTCAATAAAATTGAAAAGTAAAAGTACAGAATTCCTCTGTCCCAGTAACTCTAAGTTCTGAATTTCATACCTTAGGAGAGCCACAGTCACATTCTTCTCCCACTTCCAGAAGTTGGTTCCCACACACTGGTTTTGTTATATTTTGAGAAACTGATGATTCCAGTAGGCACTTCGGTTTTCGAGATAAAAGGTATTCTTGAAAATGTGAGCGGCAGGTAGTACTGAAATCCTTTGGGAATTTTGAACTGTAAACAGAACAAAACTCAGGAACAGCATGGCATAAAGTATGGTTACTTGTGTGTGATCAGCATGAGAATCTGACTTATCTAACAGGTTCATCAGTAATTCCAAATTTAGCAATTTCAGGACTGTACTGTATTATATATGGTGGGTTATCAAACATACACATTATGCTAATTAGAAATATTCTTCCTGGCTGGCACCGCGGCTCACTAGGCTAATCCTCTGCCTAGCGGCGCCGGCACACCGGGTTCTAGGCCTGGTTGGGGCGCCGGATTCTGTCCCGGTTGCCCCTCTTCCAGGCCAGCTCTCTGCTGTGGCCCGGGAGTGCAGTGGAGGATGGCCCAAGTGCTTGGGCCCTGCACTCCATGGGAGACCAGGAGAAGCACCTGGCTCCTGGCTTTGGATCAGCGCGGTGCGCCGGCCGCAGCGCGCCAGCCGTGGCGGCCATTGGAGGGTGAACCAATGGCAAAAGGAAGACCTTTCTCTCTGTCTCTCTCTCTCTCACTGTTCACTCTGCCTGTCAAAAAAAAAAAAAAAAAAAAAAAAAGAAAGAAATATTATTCCTACATATCCAGTTGTAGAACTGGAATAATTTATATTCCTGTGTGTATTTGTACCATCTTAAATGACAACAGTGATGAATGTATTTTATTCAGTTTTCTATTCCCAGTCCTTGCACAACACCCAACATTAACAGGTAATTAATAAGTATACAAAATGGACTGATTTGCTGATTGATGATAGAGATATATGAAGATACTGTTGGCACCTTAATAGGTTAATATTTTTAGAGATTGTGATATCAATCAAGACAAATTATTTTAAATTAAAACAATAAGGTCACCATACTTATAAACTCCATGTTGGCATATTTGGAAATCTTAAAGAAGCAATCCTTATAACTGATAAAAAAAAAAAAAAAAACTATGCACAAAGAGACTGGAGTTTGAACTAACAGGGTACACAGTCTTTGGTTGAAAATATATCCATCTAACATATATATATATATATATATATATATATAGACTGCATCTGCATTATTGAAATTGAAGTGTTGGAAATGATTTTTCTCCAGAGTGACATAGTCTTACCTCAGATACTGATTCATAACACAACTGCCGGAGGGACACTTGGTGTAATATGGAATATCAGGCATACCAAGTACATGTCCCAACTCATGCGACATCACTCCCACAAGAGCTACATTATTCTTTTTTCCAGCCTGGGGGAAAAAATAGAAACCTCTATCACTTCTTATTTTATTTGGTTATTTCTCAATTTTTGCCCATGTATAGTATTTACATACATAACTTGAGAGATGAAAAATAATAAATCATTAAGCTCTTTTGCCTGCCTTTACTTATTACAAGATGTTGAGTGAACATTTGAAGTGACTAGGGTCTATGAATGCAATCACAGTATCAGTGCTCAATAAATATTTATTAAATTAATTTACTAAGTTTCCAAGCGAACCAGGCAATAAAGAATATTTGTCAATTAATTTTCCACATCCCTACTGTGGCAACTCTGTATATGGCATTATTCATAGAGGATACAGAATCACAGGGAGACTGACCACAAGCTTACAAACCTCAATAACAGCAACAGAAGACGGGGAACACAAGGAATTTGATGCTGCCATCCCAACACGTCGGTTGCTGAAGGCAGCTCCACTGCATGAAAGTGACAGACACATGGTCACACTCGGAGTCTTTACAACAATTACTTTTTGTTATGCTGTAGATGACCCTTGCCTACTGAGCCCTTTTCTATTCATCAAACTCCAGAAACGCTTCTATTATCCCAGAGCATTACACTGATCCTAGCTGGTTATCTTACATCCGGGAGCTCACTTTATTGATCTGATATGGACCTTCAATAATCTCAAAAGTGAATTGCTAATGGCAGAATATCAGGCACTTGACATCTGATTGAGGAGGTAAGATTCTGCCTACACAGGGACCTGGCCAGGTATCTGTATGTGCTCACCTGAGAAGCTGAGCGTGGTCATGGATCATCTTTTTCCCCAGGTTAGATTGATGCCATCTCAGGAAGTTGTTAAACGTGGTGCCTATGCTGGGTTCCACTTTTATCTTATCACTATCAGACCAGACTTCCATGCCTACCAAGGCCACTTTAACATCTATGGTTTCGAAAATCTGTGGAAAAAGCATTTTTCTTCATGAAAATGTTTACTATCTCTTTTAGTGTTTTAGAGTTTTGGCTGACCACAAGTGATGGACTGACTAACAGACTACAAATGATAAATTTCCATTTTGAAAATAGAAATGCTACGAATTGCCTTTGTTTTGATGTGTCTCGTTTTACCTTGATGCTGAGCTTTATCCTGCTAAAATGTACCAGAACTGCTGGCCATAGGGCACTGTGATCCTGACTGTTGAAATCACAGGGAAGCTTGAGGCTCACCATGAAAACATGTTTACACAACCAATATCTTACCACATTGAGTAGGTTCACAACATCAAATACAAAACTTCTCATCCGGGTTAGATTTCCCTCATAGATCTTATACTGTAAAATACAAAACACAAAGCATAATTGAAATAGCAAATCAAAGTGAGAAAGCTGATGGGGTATAGAATTTCACATTTCAAGAAAATTATACGTGTTAATATAATTGATATCTACTCATTCCATGCCTACATTATGAAAATTCTGTTTTCACAATTCTCTTTTAAATAAAACAGTGCTTTGATACAAGAAAAGTGAGACATTCATATAAAATTTCAGTGTTTTTTAGTTTTCAGTTGAATAAGCCAAATTAATAATTTAAATTTTTAAGCCAATTCAATTATTAAAACTTGTTTATAGGACAATATTTTCTAGGTAAACAAGTAGATTCTAGTAGTTTTCCTATATATAAATATACATTTTAAGTTATAAATATATATACTTTCTGCCTATTCTAAATTTATATAATATTTATACTAGGTACATTAATATTGTAATGCTAAAATATTTAATAAGCCATTCTGTTAATTTCTATATTTAATTGATTTCCTATGACTCTGTTATCAACTGTGGGGGAACTATAAAAAGTTCATGGAAACTGAAATTAAGAGATAAGATTTGTTGTTGCAAGAACATTTGGAAATCCATACCTACAAGGGGTCTTCAAAATGTCATGGGAAATGACATTATTATAAAATATATATTATTATTATTTTTTTTTTGACAGAGTGGACAGTGAGAGAGAGAGACAGAGAGAAAGGTCTTCCTTTGCCGTTGGTTCACCCTCCAATGGCCGCTGCGGCCGGCACACTGCGGCCAGCGCACCGCGCCGATCCGGTGGCAGGAGCCAGGAGCCAGGTGCTTTTCCTGGTCTCCCATGGGGTGCAGGGCCCAAGCACCTGGGCCATCCTCCACTGCACTCCCTGGCCACAGCAGAGAGCTGGCCTGGAAGAGGGGCAACCGGGACAGAATCCGGCGCCCCGACCGGGACTAGAACCCGGTGTGCCGGCGCCGCTAGGCGGAGGATTAGCCTAGTGAGCTGCGGCGCCGGCCCCTAAAATATATATTATTTTTAATATATATTATTAAAAGCTATGCATAAGGGGCCGATTCTGCGGCATAGTGGGTAAAGCCGCCATCTACAGTGCACCCATATTGGCTGCTCCACTTCTGATCCCACTCTCTGCTATGGCCTGGGAAAGCAGTAGAAGATGGCCCAAGTGCTTGGGCCCCTGCACCCACATGGGAGACCCAGGGAAAGCTCGTTGCTCCTGGCTTCAGATTGGCACAGCTCCAGCCATTGTGGGCCTCTGGGGAGTGAACTAGCTGATGAAAGACCTCTCTCTCTCTGCCTCTGCCTCTCTGTAACTCTGCTTTTCAAATAAAATAAATAAATCTTTAAAAAGTTATGCATAGAAACAAATACATTTTGATTATATTTTGAGTATTTTGAAGTCCCCTGGTATATTGCTAGTTCTGAATATTTATTTGGTGACAGGTAGACATTAAGTGGAAGAAAGGATTGAAAACATCGCTGACAGGCAGGTAGAATTGACAAGACAATCATGTGGACAAACTGCCTTATTAACAAGAAAGATTCTCTGCTTGCTTTAACTTGATAAGTCAACTTAAAAATGGACTAAACCAGCCAAGGGTTCACACATTTCATACTCACAAAGGCATTATCCAGCACCAAAAACAGGTCAAGGTATTTTTGTGCCTGAAGAAAGTCTTCTTGCTTTATAAAGGATAAGAGAACATGGTTAAATTTAACTTTATCCTGAACTATCCAAAAGCTTACAAAGAGATTTCTTTTCCCCAGAGAGAAATTAGAACCACAAATAAATAAAACTCTGCTTACCTCTGTACTTTTGGGTGACCTAGAGATTCGAACACGACCTCGCTTCCTGCCAACATGTCTCACACCGCATGTGTGATTTGCTGGGTGCAATTCCTCTCGGTCATATGTAAGGATAGCATGTTCTTTCTGATCTGTGCTTTTCAGGGGCTTTATCAGGTATCTTTGACCACGATGTGTGAAGTATCCTCTGTGAGGTACAGACACTTGAGTTTCAGTGCTCAGAAGGGGTCGACACCTCCCTCTGCCCCAGTCTCACACATACAGCCTTTGCTCATAGGCCTTTGCACTATCTCTCACAAATTTGTTATAATTGATATTTGTCATAATTTGAAGCCTAACCTATGTACTCAGAAAATTCAGAACAAGAATTACAAAGACAAATTTGGGATTGCAACACAAGCTTGTTAAATATTTTTCCATTGCTTATTTATCCATTTAGCAGATATTTTTTGGCAGAACTTAGGAATATAATGAGAAAAACAATATAGGAATATTCAGATAACAAGAAGCCCAGAAGAGAAGAAGAGCGATTAGTAGGTAAGCCTGTGTGATAACTTAGTTAGGACTAGTAGTAGTTGAAAGAATCCATCTTTTTTGCTTAGCAGTTGTAATGCCCATATTCCACACTGAGGAACTTGGCTTTGAGACCAGGCTCCAGCCAATGACTTCAGCTTCCTGATAACGCAGATGCTGGGGGACAGCAGTCATAATGCAAAGAATCAGATCTTTGCAATCCACATGGAGTGCTAGGTTGAGTTCCCAGCTCCCTGCTTTGGCCCCAGCCCAGCCCCAGCCTTTGTGGATATTTAGGGAGCGAATGAGCAGACGGGAGCCCTGTCTTTCTGTTTCCTGCTAATGTGCCTGGGAAAACAACAGAAGATGGCCCAAGTGTTTGGGCCCCTGCATTCTACATGGGAGACCTGGAAGAAGCTCCCAGCTCCTGGCTTCAGCCGGGCCCATCCCCAGCTGTTGCAGTGATTTGGGGAGTGAACCAGTGGATGGAAGACCTCTCTTTCTCTCTCTCCCTTTCTTTCTGTAACTCTGCCTTTTAAATAAGTAAAATAAAACATATTTTATGATATAGGGAAGACTTGGGACATTTGTTAAATACAAACCATTTTGGAAGAATACTTATACATTTTATTCCATATTTCAATCAGGTAAAATATATATTTGCCTATACGAATAAAAGGTGCAAACATGACAAAACATTAGTAATAGAAATCACTCAGTGCTAAATTATGTGGTAGTTGTTATTTTCTTATTTCTGCTTTTTTTATTTCCAAATTTTCCAGAATTGGCAAGGACTACCAGTGTAAACAGAAACACAGGCAATTTTAACGATTAAGCTCAACTGAACATTTACAGGGTAGAATCACTGAGTAATAAAATACAATTACTTCAAAGGTTGGGGTAGATATGCTTGGAAACTGACCCAGATACCCTCAGTGTCCCATGTCTAAAACTCTTGGTTAAGCATAACTAGACCTGACTTCTCTTAGAGCAGTGCATTCTAAATTATTGTCAGCGTAATTCTTTGTTCTCCCCTTTCAACACTGAAATTCAGCATTTTAGTGATGGAGAAAATTTACCAAAGTAATAGGATATAATCTTCAGACCTAACAAAATGATGCTTGCTCTTTACTTGTTTTGATAGTGGTTCTCACCTCAGCCCATCACAGGTACTGATGCTGGCAACAGAACTCTTCTCATTTAGGATGTGTCCTTCATAGTAACAGTGTTCCTGGAGTAGGAAAAAGAAATTATGGTCTCTCTCTCTCGCTTTTTCTCTATGTGTGTGTTATACAAATATATGCATTATTATTATTAATATTATAAATCAGAATTGTGGATAAAACTGTCATCACATTTACATAGGAAAGTTCAAATACTAGCTGTGGCCAAACCAGTTTCTAGAGACAAACAAACAAACAAAAAAAGTGAGAACTTCAGAGATTTTCTGAATTGCTCCACAGCTGAACGGAGAAACTACATATTTGGTTGCTGAGATGTTTTTCTGACACTAATTTACCCCACAGGAAAGTCCAGAGAGGTCAAACCCAATAGGGCCCATGGTAAAAGCAGATGTTGCCTCTCTGAATTAGCCAATTCCCTTTGTTTTCACAGTGTTCCTATTGGACTTTTCCATTTTATTTTGTACCCAAGCTGGGTACAAAAGTCTCTGTGCATCATAAATTAGTAGAATGAGGCACTCATTTTCCCAGACTCGAATTCTCGAGAGGCCACACTACCACTCCTGAGCTCCTCAGATTAGCTGGTTCAGTTCTCCATTCTGATTGGTATATATTAGGAATCCTTTTGGCAGTCCCCCAAATCCACACATGGCTGTAAGCCCATATCAGCAAAGTAGGGGCCACTTATGTGGAATGATCTAAAAAAGTAAATCAACAATCTCTGGTTCAAAACAAACTGGCTTGCCTCAGGGTCTGAAATTCTATCTGTGCATGTATGGTTCTTTTATACTTTGGAAGAAACCCTGTTATCAGAAACATTTTCTATAGAAGATTTGGGAAAATATGCTACATTATCACATTATTAGCCATTTACACTTGAGCATAAATACATTTATCAAATATTTTCCTCTGAAGACAATGCTGGAAAAAAGTTTAGTATCTACAAAATGAACATTATGAAGAAAGAAGGGAACAAGGCACCATCTGTGGCAAAATCTTTGCTTTAATCTGATTTAAGGGACACGGTGTTTAGGATGTCATGGAGATGGCTCTGAGAAACTCTTAGCTTAGGAACACCACTTGATTAAGCTGTTTTGTATCTCTTCCTATTCTTCCCTGCTGTATATGCCATGATTCTCTACATTTAACTACTAGTATGGCATTGGTACACAGAACAGTAATTTAAGCAAATAGAAAAATATTAATTTTTTTGTTACTGATCCAATGATAAAAAGCAATTTGTCTTCAGAAAATAGTTATGACATGAAATCTCATGTGGCTGCAACAGACATTTCTGATTTGTGGAGAAAATGGTTTAGGAGTGAGTGGAATTCTGTTTCCTTCTAAGGCTGTGACACTTGGAAACCTCTTATTGCTACAATCTTTTAAAAGCCAACTGTAATTTCCCATCTGTCATTTCATTGGTCTCAGATGAACACCTCACATTCCAGCACTATGATTTTTTTGAGTTTTGGATTTCTGAATTTTATGAAGTAGAAGATCCCAGAAAGCATGCAGACATTACCATATTCTGAGGGCTTCTGGTGATTTCGTCTCCTCTGGGTGTGTAGTAAGTTTCAGTGTAGTTTGGTGCCAGGAGATGCCTGTAGAAAAGCAGAAAGCTGCAAGACACACTCAAGGTGGAAATAAAGGCTGATTTTTTTTTCCTGACATGATCTTCAGTAGTGAGGAATAATAGTGTCTACAGGAAGAAAGAGTTGACATCCTAACCCATTATCCTCTCCCAAGATTGGAACCCTGCTGCTGAAATAAATTAAGGCAGTAGTTATAATTCTTAGATCTGAGGGAAGAAATCTTCCCAGATACTTTTCAGTTGCAGATTCTCTGTCTATAAACCTAACCCCTGTAGAATTTTGGAGGGATTTTTGATTACAGTCATCAGGGACTATTGCATACAGAGAGGAGTTTACTAAGTGCTTCTAACTCGACAGAACTCATCCCCTGGAAACTATCTCAAGGCTGTGAATCCTGAATCAGCCTTGGAAATATATTCTTATAAACGTAATGTAAATTCCACCAAGGATTCAAGTTTCTATGTATGTTCTCAGGTTAAGGAAGAACTTCATTGATATTTGGAGCTCTCTTTGCTTACACTTTGATTATAATGTGCAGGGAATGCACAAATCTTCTTAAATAACATTAGCAACAACTAAATTCATCTAAAGCTCATTATACTTCATGTCTTCTATCTACAACCACAATGAATAGAGTGTCAAGATTTTTTCCCCACATTCTTTTAATGCAATCCAGTGATGAGATTTTTAGGAAGTACAACTTACTTGGTTTTCTGTAGCTGAAGAATGACTTCTTCTCCATTTAATCTAATCTGATATTTAATTTCAGATTCATATCTTTCCTAAAAATATTTAAAGACATTATTACATCAAACAATTTATATTTCTAAGCCTATCAAAAATAACCACAGGTGCTGGTGCCATGGCCCAGGTTAATCCTCTGCCTGTGGCACTGGAATCCCATATGGGTACTGGTTCTAGTCCCAGCTGATCCTCTTCTGATAAAGCTCTCTGCTATGGCCTGGGAAAGCAGTAGAAGATTGCCCAAGTCCTTGGGCCCCTGTATCTGTGTCAAAGACCCAGGAGAAGCTCCTGGTTCCTGACTTCGGATCAATACAGCTCCAGCCATTGTGGTCATTTGGGGAGTGAACCAGCAGATGGAAGATCTTTCTGTCTCTCTCTCTCACTGTATGTTACTCTACCTCTCAAATAAATAAATAAAATCTTCAAAAAATAATAACCATAATATAAATAGTATATATTAGGATAATTGCAAATATATATATATATATAATGCCTTTTACAATATATAAAATAAAACAAATTTTACATTAAGATGGACTTTTAAAAAACAACAGCTGCATTATAATAACCCTTATAGATTAAGCTAACTTCAATCTGTAAGACAGGAAATTATCATTTGCTTTATTGTACAGTACACTGTTCTGTGAACCCAAGTGGCCCAATAGCATAGTAATGAGACATGTATTTTTCTTATTTTAAAAGCAAACAAAATACACTGAAGAAAACCAGGCAAAATGCTACTAAGAATTAAATACGATAAAAGCTACAAAATGAGGAAATATTAGCAATATCATAGTCAAAGTGTTAATGTACTTAATAAATTTAAAAATCTTCTTGATTACTAAGATTAAGTTGAATTCTTCATTAATGACAAGCCGCTGAGAAAAAGCAGTTCTCCGGGGAAACGGGGTGTGGGGCAGGGGAGGTGGTTTGGTGAGGCTAGAAAGGAACATCTCCATAGTAACGGCTGCCTCTCCTGAACTCCTTTTCTTTCTTTCCTGGAGAAATGTCCAAGCAGCTTTATCCTTTCTTATTAAGTGAAGCAGTTTACTCCCTTTGGCTTTACTGTAAAAGCTTTTGGAGAAATTCTGAGCTGTCTCTTGACAAAGGGAAGCTACATAAATCGTCGCGAGATGAAGGGAGTAGATTGGACAGTGACAGTGACATTGTTTCTCTGAGTGGAAAGGCTCCTTATTGTTTGTTCTGCGATTACAAAATCCACCCCGGTCAGGCACACTGCTTACCTCTTCACCATGCTTCTCTGGCCCGTTGATCTCTCTTTTGTGTAAACTGTGTAGTTTTGTAGGATGAACTATTTCATGGAGTTTTAGTTCAGAAGTTTGCTTTATGGCTATTGCTAGAGAAACAGAGATAACATTTTATAAAGGAGTTAAAGGCTTTTATTTTTGAATTGTTGTGTTTTGCTTCCCCTAGCTGTTTTTTTTTTTTTTTTTTCCAAAGAGCACTGAAGACTTAATTGCCAATCAGAGAAGGAACATCAAGAGCAAGGCTATTCGCTTTTTGACAAAAATCTTTCTTTTGCTCTCTCCTGCCCTGGTGGAAAAACATGCAGAGGATGAAACAATTCCTTGGATATTCTCTGTGTATGCACACTCTGGACCCCCATACTCAGAAAAGGTAAGTATTAGAATAAGAACAGGGCCGCGGGAACCTGGAATTTGCCTTGGTTTATTGCATTCCTCTTCACTTATAGTCCTCTTCAAACCTGTGATTGTTCTCTGAAGGGTCTACTTAAAAAAATGCATTTTTGACCCGTGTGGTGCAATCCCTTTGACTACTCACTCCAAATATCAGGCTTTTTTCATATGCAGATAATACCTCATTCTTAGGCAGGACTGTACTAGCAATTAAATTCCTCAAAATAACAATAAATCATAAATGCTCTTTCTCTCATTAGTGTTTTTCTCTCAAGACTTTAGATTTCACAAGAAATGAAAATTTTGCTGTCCTCTCAGATTTTAAAGCATCAGAGAGTAATTATGAAAACTGTTTGTAGACACAGTATTCTTAATGTACTTAAAAATTACATTAGATAGAAGGATTTCCATTATTTACCAACAGTAGGAAAAGAATGGTTCATGGAGCTAAAAGGTGCAGTCTTATGTCCTAGCTAAATGACCCTGTAGAAGGCATGTTGCCTTTGAATCATTTATTATCTGTGATGAGTTCATTGTAAAACTTAAATAAGGTAACATATACAAAATATTTAACACCATTCCAGGACGATGGCAGCATATATTTTCTATTTTTCTTTTAACTGCTCAATCACCCATGAAAGTCAGTGACATGTTTGAATGCTCACATTTCATACATCATACGTGTTTGGGACAGTTTTCTTAATGTGACAGTGAGCCTAAAGACACAAAGCAATTATCCACCTGGTTGATACATGAGAATCTGAAGGAAAGTAGCAAAGCTGGGATTCTCTTCTAGTTAGTTCGCAAGCTCTGCTATGAAGCTATCCTGAGATAGGCTCATTACATACTAAAACAGGAAGTCTAGAAATCTATTAGTAAATTTTCTTTTATCAAAACAGAATATATCTTACTAGTGGAAAGAATTGGGGACTTGAAATTAGAGTGAATTTTCATAACCTCTCTATATAATACCAACTCTAGCGCTGATTTCCAATTTCGGAAAACTCCCTAGAGTATCTGTTTTCCTACCTGTTAACTTTTTCTGTAAGCTTATTTGACTTTAGGCTCACTTTCTAGGAATAGATTACAATTTTCTTTTTCTTTTCTTTTTGTTTTGACAGGCAGAGTTAGACAGTGAGAGAGAGAGAGAGAGACAAAGAGAAAGGTCTTCCTTCCGTTGGTTCACCCCCCAAAATGGCTGCCACAGCTGGCGTACTGCGCTGATCCTAAGCCAGGAGCCAGGTGCTTCCTCCTGGTCTCCCATGTGGCTGCAGGGGCCCAAGCTCTTGGGCCATCCTCCACTGCCCTCCTGGGCCACAGCAGAGAGCTAGATTGGAAGAGGAACAACCAGGACAGAATCCAGCGCCCCAACTGGAACTAGAACCCGGGTGCCGGCACCGCAGGTGGAGGATTAGCCAGGTGAGCCTTGGCGCCAGCCTAGATTACAATTTTCTTGAGCCAAAGGCCTTTCCAAGTTTCTTAAATGAAAACATAAATCTGATAGAGTCCTTTTAATGAAAGTCAAAACATTCTAGTGAAATTTCAACATCTTAATACTCAAAACTTACTTCACTTAAGAAATAGAGATAATTGGATCAATACTATACTCTTATTTAACTATAATATCTCAAATCACTGCCCAGTTTTTCTTTACATAGAACAAAACTAATATAATATTCTTTTTTTTAGGCAGTAAGCAACTCACCATCTTAGATTTTTTTTTTTAAAAATATACAATATATATGTTATAACACTTAAATTATCAAAAAGTTAGAAGGTGATTAAGTGCCATGATGATGAAATATATTGGAATAAAGAGATTGTGGATACTTGGGCAGAGGTGAGTGTTGCGATTCTAAAGTGGGCAGTCTGGGTTGCACTTTGAGAAAGTCCAATTTGAGCCAAGATTTCACAAAGATAAAACAATGAATCTGATGATATTTGGGAACATGAAGTTCCAGACAGAAGAAACATTAATAATGTCCTAATATGGGATTCTCGTGGAGAAGGTATTTAAGAATCCATAAGGCCCGTAGCTGAAGTGAAGTGAGTAGAATAATGAAAGATGCAAGTAGATTGCTTATGGTAAAGAATAGATTGTACTGGACCTAAGAGACTCTTAAAAACTTTGTCTTTTACTATGGGCATAATGAAAAACCACGGAAACTTCAGAGCAGAGAAGTCACAAGGATACTTCTGATACCTGCAACCTCTATCTGAGAGCCTGGTTCAAATGCTGGCTGCCCTTCATATCCAATCTTGCTTCCTAGTAATGTGCCTGGGAAGCAGTAGATGAAGCCCAAGTATGTGGGTTCTTGTCACCCATATGAGAGACCTGGATGGAGTTCCTCACTCCTCACTCTGGCCTTGGTCTAAGCCAGCTGTTGTTGGGCATTTGGGGAGTGAACCAGTGGGTAGATGATTTTCTCTCTCTCTCTCCCCCTCCCTCCCTCCCTCCTTCTCTCTGTGCCACTATTCCTTTCAAATGAATAAACTGATCTTAACATAAGAGGATGACTGTCTGCTCTGTTGAGAATATCCTGTAAAGGAAGAAGAGTAGAATTAGATCATTTAATAGGGTATTACAACATTCTATGAGAGAGATGATGGTGACTTGAGTGAAAAATGACAACGCAGCAAGTAAAAGGAGAGAGAATGAGGAGGAGGAGAGAAAGGAAGAACAAAAAAGAAGGAAAGAAAGGGAGAGGGGGAGAGAAAGAGAAGACAGAAGGAAGGAAGGAAAGAGTGAAAAGAAAGAAAGAAGAAAAGGAATGGAAAAAAGGAAGAAAGTAAAGGAAAAAAGTCCAAAATAAATGAACAATGGATTTAACCCCACTGGATTCATAAGACTAGAGTCTTAGTGGGGAGGTGGGAATGAAACTGAGCAGGATGTGCGTGAGTGAGAAGAGAGCAACTGGAGAAAGAGCGTGTCGATTCTGAGGATTTTTGCTGCAGATTTGAAAGAATAAAAATAGAGTGTAACTGACAAAGGAGGAAATAGAAAGATATTCATTTTAAGTTGGGAGCATTTTTGTATGCTGATGGGAACGATTTAGTAAACAGTAGGAAAAAATAGGAGAGGGAAGTTATTAAATTAATGTCCTTGAATGAGGGTGGAAAATCTCTGGAGGACTAATGGAGGTTCTAAGCTGGCACAGACAGATCATTTATAAGAACAAGAGGGAAGGCTGAGCCTGTGAGGTTTATCTATGAACAATCAGCAATAAACAAATAAAGAGTTATTTTCCCAGGACTAATCCTTTTGACACTGTCATTCCATTTCTGAAAAGCTTTCTCAATGAAATATCCCATAGCAGATTATTTAAAGCCTTAATTTATGAAGATGTTAACAAAAATTTCGTTACTATTAAAAAGATGTAATGATACTAACATTAAGCAATTTTTGGTTCACCTATTTTTTGAAATCTGTGCAAACATAAAATTTGATATCATTAAAATACATAATATTTGAAAAAGATTATGATAAGTTTTAGAGTATATGTTTTGTTATTTAAAATTTTTCACTCAAAAAGTTATATGGCTAGATAGATATAGAAATAGATACAGATTGTAAATTTGTAGATAGATATATGGTTGATAGATGACAGAGAGATTGATGATTGAGAAACATTTCTCAGTATCCATAGTGGACTGACTTCAGGACACCCATCAAATAGCAAAATTTGTGTATGTTCAAGTTTCTTAGATCAAATGTCATAATATTTGCATTTAAGCTATGTACATCCTCCCCTATACTTTAAATAATTTCTAGATTACTTATGATACCTAATGCTATGTAATTAGTTGTTATATTGTATTTAAAGAACAATGACAAGAAAAATCTGTATATGTTCAATATAGATGTAATTATTTTTTGAATAGTTTTGCTCTTAGGTTGGTTGACTAAGTAGATGCACAATTCAAGGATACAGGGGACCAACTGCATACAGTTTGCTTTTATAAAGAGAAATAGAGAATATACCAAAATGCAAGAAGGCATGATGTTTGCATCGGGGGAGCACATGCCATTTCACAAGGGTATTTCAACATTCATCAAATAATTCGACTTTTATAAAAAAAAAACAGCAATGTATTTGTGCTTACCTTGAGTTTGAACGGTGAGCCAGAGCACAGAAAGTAGGGCCCACAACATGGTGGCTACTGCAGGTGGCTGGGACATTGTGCCGAGTATGAAACGGCAGTTGCCCCATCTGGCTGTTTTATTTCCCCCTCTACTCTTTAAAAGTTGAAAACAGAAAATAAAAACTTCAATCATTTCTCATGAGATTCGGTAATGTGTTTAATGGTGTTGGGAAATGGATGAGAAGTTGCAGTGTCAAGGACATGGGGATGTTTCTCATTTATTAAATGTATTTACATCTGTGGTTATAGCTCATTAAGGACTTGCATCTGGACAACTGCTTGTCCTGGGTGTTGCTGTATGTGCTACGAAGGTATGAACTGAGACAGATGCTTGTGTGCATATTTATATCCATACCCAAACTGAACCATCACTATTGTTGTACCCCTATATACACTGCTTCGAGCATTTAGGAAATATCTCAGAATTTAGCACACATTTAGTGAAATTGGCACAGAGAACACAGGATCTGAAAAACAAGCCCCTAGCCAAGTCTTAAATTCCAGGATAATGAAAGTATTTCTGAATGTTAATCTCCTAATATTTAAAAAGGGGATTAAACTCCTTAGGGATCTTCTAAAATTTGTATGCAGTTACAAATACATACACACACATATCTACAAAAAATTGTAAAGAAATGTACAAACATAAAATTATCTTGACAACGTTAAACCCAACTAAATTATATAATACAGGAAGGATGTTTGAAGTATGCTACAGACTCTGCTTCAGAAAGATAGTAATACTTTTCTATTTTCAGAAAAATATTTTGTCATTACAAAATGATACATTCCATGATATAACTGTCAAAAAAGTATGCAGAAGGAAAAAGTGGATCACTCAATGATTCAACATTCAAAAATGACTTCAGTGGCTAGGTAGTTGTCCTACCAATTGAGACTCTGGTCTAGACTTCCACATCCTTCTTTGGAATCTCATGGTTCAATACCCATCTCCAAGCACCTGACTCCATCTTTCTGCCAATGTGGACCCCAAGAGGCAGTGATGATGGCTAAGGTCTCTGACACACATTTGGGAGACCGAGTTTCTGGCTCCTGTCTTTAGCCCTGGCCCAGCCTTGGGCTTTTGGAGAGTGAACCAGTGGATGGGAACTCTCTGTCTTTCCAGCTCTTTTCCTGTCCTTCTGTAACTCTGCCTCTCAAAAACAAAAGAAAACAAAACAACTTCTGTTAATATTTTACCAATGCTTTCATCTATTTTATGCACTAATAAATGTTAATACATTTTAAAATTAATCATATTATACAGAAGGCTTAGAATCATAATTTTTTGCACAGCACTATAATGTAAACATTTTCAAAATATTAAACACATTAAGGCAACATTTTATGGACTTTAGAATATTCATTTGTTTGTATATGTTATATATAATTTTGTATAATTATTTGGCTTCTCAGAGCATCAATGCCTAAAGTGAATGTCCATGATAGAACTTTTTCAGAATAACAACCTATGCCATCTAATTCCTGACCATACATATTGCTAAAGCATTTGGGGATATTCTAGCATCTAATTGCAAATTTTAAAGTTAATATTCTAGTTCTGTTCTTTTTGTTTTTATACTTTCCTTTGAAATAACACCTTTTTCTCTATACTTTTGTATTTCATTTGCAGGTCCAGAAAAATAACTTTTATTTACATCCTTTACAAGTTACTAGTAAAACTTAATAAATATATAATTAATATTTCTATAATCAAATAATAAAATAACTTGCAGTGGTTTGACTTTATATATCTTGTACCCCTTACCACTTCATTTATTTATTTATTTATTTATTTATTTTGTATTTTGACAGGCAGAGTTAGAGAGTGAGAGAGAGAGAGAGAGGCAGAGAGAAAGGTCTTCCTTCCGTTGGTTCACCCCCAAAATGGCCACTATGGCCGGCGTGCTGCGCTGATCCGAAGCCAGGAGCCAGGTGCTTCCTCCTGGTCTCCGGTGCGGGTGCAGGGCCCAAGGACTTGGGCCATCCTCCACTGCCTTCCCGGGCCACAGCAGAGAGCTAGACTGGTAGAGGAGCAACTGAGACAGAATCTGGCACCCCAACCAGGACTAGAACCAGGGTTGCCGGTGCTGCAGGTGGAGGATTAGCCTCGTGAGCTGTGGTGCCAGCCACCCCTTACCACTTAACATTGTTATAAAATATTTTAGTTTTATCCTGATTTTCATGCCCATTGTTCATTAATAATTTTAGGCCTTTTATACAAATAATGCTGTTTGAATATACTCACATGTTTATAAACTTCATTGTTAATAGATCCTTTTAGCATCAGTCCTTTTTTAAAAATTTGTTTAACTTTCTTCTTTGTTAAACATATTCCTCAGTAAATCCTTCCTTTTAGTTTTCCTGGAGTAAACATATTTCATATTTCATTAAAATATTTTTTAGATTTTATCTCTTTCATCCTATTGTTTAATGATGCTTTAACTGAAAGTACTATTTGAGGATAAGAATGAATGGTTGAATATAATATTTTACTATCCTTGGGCATCTACTATTGCTATTGACAGTTCTACTTTCAATCTGCTAAATGGAAATTATTTTTATTTATATATAGTTAATATTACTGTATCAGTTAAATATTGAGTGAGATATTAAATTTTAGTTCACACTAATTGCTACTCTTTTCCTGGGTATTTCATGATGACTCTGATATTACCCTTGCCATTAAGATATTCCTTCATAAACTCTAATAATAAAGTCATACACATAGATACAGCCTTATAAATGAAAGATATTTTGATTGAGGTTTGTGCATTGTGTTAAGATATAATTTTAGAAGAGGAAACATCATTTGGTAGTTGAGGAATGTCAGATAAAAAAGTCAAATAAAGCCATAGGTATGTAGAAAATCATACTTTTTGTTGCACTACAATATATTCCTCATGACTTGAATATTGCATAAAAAGGAATAAGTTTGTGATAAAAAGCTTATGATACATGCAGGAGTCAAGTTGCAGGAGGGGGACAATACTGATTACCCTAAAGAAAATGATACATGTGTGAGGAACATTTAGCTCATAATATTGTTAGACTTGCTGACTGATTAGATGTAGCAATTGAGGGAGGCAGAGGAATCTGAAATGAGTTCTAGGGTTCAGCATGAGCAACTATATGAATGTCATAGATGACATCTTCTGATTTGGTGAAATGATGAGCGTTGCAGTTTGTTAACCCTTGAAGTACAGAACACATATCTCCTGTGTATTCTTCAGGAGCACAGCCCCTTAATCCTTAAATCCCAAGTTCCCTGAATATTTCACAGATATTGACATAAGTTCATTAAATAGTATAAACCATAATACAGAGCTTATACATCCTTTATTATGATTCAGAACTTAACTATACATTGTTATGTAAATAGAACACTGGAACAAAGTAGTTTCTTTTACATATATAGCTTTCCTATGAACAGAACATTAGGAAAATATGATATCCTTTCATACATTACACAATATACAAAGAAGTGATTTTCATGGTCTGTTCAATAATTATTTTTGATGAAAAGGAGGAAAAAACCTCTAAAGAAATTATTACATTACACTTTTGACATATGTTTTTGTTATTGCAGAATGTAGCTTGTTTTGATATTGTTGATATTATTGCCATTTGAGAATAATATGGCTTGTCATGTCAAATTGGTGCTCATCTTAGGCAGCAGTAGGTCCAAGAGCATTATACTTTCTTCCTGCTAGTGGTTTATCATTGCATTATTTCAAATATGTTAAGCAGATATCTCTTGAAATCTAACAAATTTATGAGCTCATTCTTATTTTATTCACAAATTTTTGAATAACCCATGAATCTATTATATATATATGTCAATTATTTTAGTGAACAAAAGCCAATACCATTTTTCCTGCTAATAGAAGTTGAATGTTTATAATCCAATTATCATGGTTATCCATACCATGACTGAAATTGCTTTAGAAACCTAATACCTAAGGCACATTGTTTCTACTCTATTTTTTTCTCCAACACTGTTGAACTTTGTCAAGTTGTTCCATAGTATTGAAGTCTATTCCAACAATGACACATTTATTATCTAACCATTTTAGAATGGGAAGTTCATTATTTGGGTTGAATCCATTATCATACAACCCTCTTGCTTGTGTTTTCAACAATGTCGTCAGTTTCAAATGACATTTGTTTAGTCTCTTTCCCCCATGGTGCCTATAGCTTGGAATACAATTTTTTGAAGGTATATCGACGGTCATAACCCATGAATAGATTGTAGAAAAAAAAAAGAGTGTGATTGTGAATTCTCTACTGATGCAAGACTTTTAGAACTGTCTATTTTCACTAAATGTTCAACTGAATAAAAATATTACCTATATAAATGATAAGTAAAATAGGAAATGTATTCATTAAGGTATTTACTAACATTTTTTAAAATAACTGCCCCTAAATAGCACACTGTAGCCATGTATATGGTCTTGTAATGTGTACTGTATTACACTGCTGCCTAAAAAGCTCTATTGTATTGCTACACATTTGTTGACAAGTTGTGAACTTCGTGCTTTTGAGTAAGATAGTGCTAAAAGTCTTTGAACTGAAGTTTTTGCCTTTTTTACAATGAATTTAAAAATATTTTCAAAAGAATAAATCACAAAGCATACCATCTATTTTACCATAGGTTATATTTATTGTTCAATGTAAGTTTCCAAATATGTTCTATATTTGAGAGGATGGACCATAATGTGTTTAAGATACAGATATTTAAATACATTTGTGGAACATATATACCATGAAAGACATTTGAAAACTGAATTCTCTGCCTGGGACTCTGATGCTGTGTATTAGATAGCTGAATATTAGCATACAAATTAAAACTGTGGAAATAACAGTGAAGAGACTGTTTACTCAGTACATCTGGAGGAAATGAAAAATGGCAAATATATGGAGCCTTATAAATACAATTTTCAGGAATGACTAAACAGGACTTAATTCATGACCATAAAATGAAGAATTTGTGGTCAACATCCTGATTACAAAGAATTTTGTTCCCATAAAGTATGCAACTTGACATTTTGCAATGTTTCATAATAGAGTATTTTTTTACTATTTTGGGAACATGTTTAAATATTGCATTACCAGAAATAAAAATAAAATAATAAAATAGACCAAACTTATTGTAAGCCTTGCACATATAAAGAGCTTTACATAAAACATTTATTTGGCTTTCACTGCAATAGATATAAGCAGTCAAATAGTCTATTCAGAGATTATACTTATCATTTTATAGATGACTCAAGGAGGTTAAGTGATTTACTTCAAGTCACCCAGAGGGTCTCATATATGTTTCCTAAATCATTTCTTATTTCATCAGTGTTAAAAAAGCATACATCAAATTCATGAGTAGGGATACAAATTAAAAGAAAGGAAAACAAGCAAAAATAGCAGATTGGTATGCTGGTCGGGAGTAGATTATGGCCTTAAAGGACACAGGATTTCTGGGTCAAGACAGGGTGTTCTTAAACTCCTGTTAATTAAACTACCTTTTAAAAGTTGTTTTGTTTTTTTTTTTTTCCATAGGGAAAAAGGTTCCAATGAGGAGAGTTAATTGATAAGTGGACTCTGGATTTGCTGGGAACTGAATTTTACTTTTGAGTCCAGGGTGAGTTAATCTAGATCCCTATACTACAAAGGTAGAAGGACTTCTTGTGGGTAAAGCTCCTCTTGAAAACAAAGATTTATACATTCAGGGAAATGATGTCAAGGTGGGAAGCAAGGCAAGTATAAGAAAAAAATAGCAACGATCATAAAGTGGAAAGCATGTACCATTTATTAGTTATGAGTACTTTATTAGTTATCACTTTGGTTGTAGTTGAAAACTGAACTCAACTGGCTTAAACAATAAGGTAAGTTCATTGATTTATAACAGAAATCCCAAATAAGTGTTTGGTGACTCTAGGAGTTGACATACTAGTTCAATAACATCATTCACAATACCAAGGTTTCATTCATTTTGTCTTTTTGCTCTCCCTCTTTTTTAGAGATTTATTTTATTAATTATTTGAAAAAGTTATAGAGCTAGGTGGAGAGAGAAAGAGAGAGAGAGAGAGAGAGAGAGAAAGAGAGAGAAGATCTTCCATCCACTGGTTCACTCCCCAAATGGCCGCAATGGCCAGAGCTGAGCCCATCCAAAGCCAAGAGCTAGGAGCTTCCTACGGGTCTCCCACATGGGTGCAGTAGTCCAAGGACTTGGTCCATCATCTGCTGCTTTCCCAGACTCATCAACAGGGAGCTGGATCTGAAGTGGAGCAGCCAGAACTCAAACTGGCATCCACATGGGATGTCGGCACTGCAGGCCAGGGCTTTAACCTTCTGCACCACAGTTCTGCCCCTTTTTTGTTCTCTCTTATTCAGCATATAATCCTTGCCTTCATCATGATTCTAGCAGTACTAGGTAGGATAGCCACATGCCAACATCCAGAAAAAGAAACAACAAAACACTTCCCAGAAGTTCCCAACATAGCTCCTTTCATCTCACAAGGGTAAAAGGGGATGGGGGTTATATACTCACCTCCAATTCAAACACTGGTAAGAAACATGATTATGATTGACTTTGACTATAAGAGATTAACATAAGATATGAAGTTGAGATCTAAAGGACAGTGGAACAAAATTTGGGATCTGAAAGCAAGGAAAGGTAGGGATGTATTTGGTAGTCAGACAATAGTAGCATATCCTCCATCCATCGAGTATACTGATGGTTACTGTGGGCAATCTGTATTCAGTGTTGACAAACCATGTGATTATTTTTAAAAGCTTGGAATTTGGATGTTTATGAAAGATCTCACAATTTTTAAATATTGGAAATACATTCAAAACATTTAAAATACTACATGGCTAACATCATTCAGGTCAAATAAGTATATATTCAATGCAAACATGGTATACAGGTCATCAGTTTGCAATTATTAATTTTTTTTACTAATTTATTTAACTAAAATTTCCTCTATTTGAAAATTAAGTTCTCTTTAACCCTGACAGTAATTGAATTATACAAATATGTATGATAAAAGCATTTTAATTAATAACTACTACTCAACAGGATAAAAACACAAATGCCATAGTTAAGAAAAATTTCAAAAGACATTATAGGAAAAAGATATAAAATAGAACGCTTACATAATTTTGTTCTTAACTGAAATTTCTAACATGACAGGTTAGTAGTCAAAACAATCACTATCTTACTACTCATTTAATAATAAATGTATAATTTTTCTTTGTTTTGATGACAATTTTATTCTTATCAAATGAGCACATCAATGTGTTCAAAATATTGAACAAACATTAGTCAACATCACATAAAAGGGGGGAGAGTATCTAGGGAAATTACCTATTAGAGATTTAATCATTTTATTCTCATGATTTTGGAGAATAGATTTTTAAAATTCATATAGATTCTTAAGAGCATATCACTGTAAAACATGTGTTTAATTTCTTCCAAATACAAGAATAAAAAAATGTTAACCTCCTTGCATGTCAAAAGCAAACAGTCATGAGAAGCACATATATTTCTTTCATCCAGATTGTCCAGTCATCCGAATTGAACATTTACCCATTCACCTGTTGCTTCAGACTTTTGGATTTAAATCCTAAAAAAGACAAGAGTCTCAGATGATTAAGGTTTCCTGACAATTTAGATATTCCTTTGTAGGTAATTTTGAAATATTAAGGAATTAAACTCAGGGAGCAGGCCAGCACCGCGGCTCACTAGGCTAATCCTCTGTCTTGCGGCACCGGCACACCGGGTTCTAGTCCCCGTCGGGGTGCCGGATTCTGTCCTGGTTGCCCCTCTTCCAGGCCAGCTCTCTGCTGTGGCCAGGGAGTGCAGTGGAGGATGGCCCAAGTGCTTGGGCCCTGCACCCCATGGGAGACCAGGAGAAGCACCTGGCTCCTGCCTTCAGATCAGCATGGTGCGCTGGCTGCAGCGCGCCAGCAGCGGCGGCCGTTGGGGGGTGAACCAACGGCAAAGGAAGACCTTTCTCTCTGTCTCTCTCTCACTGTCCACTCTGCCTGTCAAAAAAAACCAAAAACAAACAAACAAACAAAAAAAACAAAAACAAAAAAACCACTCAGGGGGCCTGTGTTGTGCTGCTGTGCATTGTTCCCTCCACTTACAATACTGGGATTCATGCTGGGTCAACGCTCAGCTAACTGGCTTCCAATCAGGGACCTACTAGTGCATTTGGGAACTCAGCAGAAGATGGAACCAATAACCACGGCTCCTGTCACCCTTGTGGGAGGCCTGGATAGAGTTCTTGGCTCCCAGCTTTGGCCTGGCCATTGGAGCCATTTGAGAAATGAACCAGCATATGGAAAATCTCTTTCTCCTTCAATCGTTCCCTCTCTGTAGCTCTGCCTTTCAAATAAATAATTTTTTTAAAAAATTAAATTCTCTAAAGTTACTTTTCAAATTTTATAGGTTACTTAATATATCGAGTAAAAGAGTAGAAACTTGGGAATGTAGGGACTAAAAGTGAGAAAAATACCATACTGGAGTCTAAATATACATCTGAGTGATTAGCATAATATGGATAAAATAGGAGACCAGTATAATAGTAATGAGATATTGGTGAATATTTTATGAAATACATCTTCATTTCCCACAATACTTAGGGATTATTTTTGAGACATAGCTTCCAGCTCTCTCTTCTTGGCTAGTGGCCAAGCTCAGGGCAAGACATTCATGTTAATACTCATCCCACCATACTACAAGTGTTATTCTTCCACAGGTGCATACTTTAAGAAGACATGGTTGGCATTTCTCTTGTAAGCATGCTAGAAGATTATAATAATTGGAGTATGGATCTTACCTTATGTGCAGGCTTTGTTTTATCCTTTAAAAAAGTAAAAGAAAGTGCTTTTATATCTTTATGCTATGTTAGATACAAAAATACTATTGGGGCATTAGAAATGCTATGTTTTTCCACCTTAGTTATGCTTCTTTCCTTAATGAAGGTACTCCACACCTCTTTACTCATTTGAATCCTACCCAACTTTCAAGATGTAGTTCAAATTCCCTCTATTCAATCAATGCATCTTGTTTTATTAAAACTCTGAAGACATTCATTCCCTCCTTATCATGTTTATCTCATTGGTATCACTCAGATTGGCACTAACGATATTTGAATAATTAAATGCTCCTGTGTATATAACTTGTTCCCTCACTAAAAATGTAAAATTATTAGTTCTTTCTTATTTACACACAAAAGAGTACCAAGTATGAAGAGCCATGCTCAAAAACTATTTTTTAGTAAGTGAATTCCACTTCTTTCTTCATGAGTACCATGTTTTTATTCCAGGTTTTCCTAGATGTGGTTTCCATTTCATTCTCTACCCCCTACAGAAAACTATAACATAGTTGTTATTTTATTTATAGCAAATAAGGAAGTAAGTTATAATAAAATTGTATATCCTCCAAAATAAACATCTAAAATGATCCTTTGGAGGTGACATTAACTTCAAATAGAACTATTTATATTTTCTCAACAATTACATGGAAGTAGAACTATTTTTCATAATACAAAAGCAATGCACACGGCGATTTAAAGATATTTGGTAGGCTTTGCTTTCTCAGATCCTCTAAAACAAATGTGCTTTCAGATATCACATTAGCCTCAGGAACACCAGTCCTGATTAAAAAAAAACAAAACAAACATAGATTTAGAAACAGTGTTCTTACTGGGCAGAGATACTGAAAAACTCACCAGTGGCCGGCTGATATTTACAAGGAAAGAAGATGATATAGATGTAGGAATTGGTGGTGGTGGAAAATCTGGCTTGGTAATCAGCTAGTAAGAAGACAAAAAAAAATTAAAATCAAAGATGACATCTTGTAAACAGGTGTGATTAGTGAAAAGGCTTAAGTCATTTTCAGAAATGAAGATATGATCCTGCCCAGGAGGATATTCTACATTCATAAGCATGATTTATTTCATTTAGGTGCACAAAAAACTTCATATACAAGTCCAGTGTCAATAAATATGTGAGGATGATGATTACTGTGGACTGAATGTTTGTGCATCTCTAAAAGTTCATAAGCTGAAAGCCTAATCTCCAGCGTGATGGTATTTGAAGGTGGCATCTTGCAAAGGTAGTTAGATCTTGAGGGTAGAGCTCTCATGACAGGATTAATGTCCTTATAAGAAGATACACAGAGAGCATTCTCTCTCTCTTTCCTCTCTTTCTCTCTTTCTCTCTTTTTCTCTTTCTCACAGCAGACCTCACTGGACATTAGATCTGCCAGTGTCTTTAACTTGGAATTGCCAGCATCCAGAATGATGAGAAATAAATGTTTATTGCTTAAGCCTCCCATGGAATTTTTGTTATTCAGCTTGAACTGTAAAAACAGTGGCACTCTATCTTTTTTTCTAAAAAGATATCCATTTCCTAGCCATAAGGTTGAAGGTTATGGGCTAAATTTAATAGTAAATAGAGAAGCATGTATTCTCACAGTTTTATATATATATCTATATATATATATACACATATATATATGAGATTATTTGTTTATTTGAAAGTCAGAGTTACACAGAGAGAGTAGAGGCAGAGAGAGAGAGAGAGAGAGAGAGGTCTTCCATCCAATGGTTCACTCCTCAATTGCCC